TTTTTTTTTTACATTCAGATAAATAAGCCACTATAGGAAAGATGTGGACTACTGAAAAAGTGTTTGCACCATTGAAAAGAGATCCATTTATTGCAAAAAAGACCAAGCAAAACAGCATGAAGTGCTATTGATTTTTTTCTGCCTTCTTGTTATTCAAGAGCAGTTAGCCAGCAAAATATTGGCGGCAAAACTTTAAATATCCTGTTTTATTTGAATTGCTGCTGGTATTCTTCCTCATACGTGGGACAGCTCTCAAAAAGCAAAAATAAGTTTGAAGGAAACAAATCACAAGACACAGGTCAGCTAATATGGAAACCTGGGGATGAGTGTCAGCAGCTGCATTACAGATTTCATGGGACACTTCCAAACTATCCCAGTGGTCCCAGCTGAGCACCAGTTGAATGGTGGGAGATAAAACCCAGCCCTAAAAGAGCCCTGTGGCACAGGGTCCTCTGTGCAGGACAGCAACTACTCAATAGCAATAACAACTGCTCAACACCAACTCCTGGGATCAGCCTGAAAGGATATCCTACAGTCAAACAGCATAAATTTCCAAAGAGATATTTTTACTTACTGGTTTTACTTATAAACAATTTCTTTTCCAAACAAAATCATTGCAGATTATCCTGGGAAATGTTGCCTATGCTGCCAAGGTATTTTGTTTGCTGTCTGTCTCATGTTCTTCAGAAACCCACACACCATATCCTCCTAAAAGACCTCCATTTCTGTTTACCACATTGGAAATTCCTCATTTTAAACTGACTGGCATTCAGAAAACAGCCACACTACAAAGTTTAGCACAGCAAATCAGCCTGAAGTATGTGTCTCACTGGACCAGGAACACTATGGACACTTAATTTATAAACCAGTTTCCACAGTAATAAATTAAGTTTAAAAGGTCTGGAAGACATGCTCACAAATGATTCACATAATTTAAATCAGCTCCTATGAAGTGCTGAGATTTAGGAATGTTTATGGAGTTGGTTTTGTTTTTTTTTATTTTAGCTTATTGCTTCCTGCATGGTCACTCACAGAAAGGAAGAAATAAGCTAGCTGTGTACCACTGTACTTCAGAGAAAGGAAAAGCAGCTTCTGGGTTCACCACCAACATTCACCACAGGTAATAAGCACTGAATTATGTGTCTCAGACCTCCAGCTCTGGACAGTTCACAAAAAGCCACTTGCTTTTCAGTGACAAGAAAAAAGCACTCCTAAAACCTTAATGGAGGCCATCAAATCAAACCAGAAAAATTCATCAGGAACACAAATAGCTTTGCAGGAAATATTATGGTAAGTGGAAAAACATTTAGTAACTCCTAGAGTTACTAAACTCTAGGAGTTTAGTAACTGAGATGACATGAGGCTGAAGCTGTTGCAGTTTGAGATCGCTTCTGTTCACACAACGCAGGCCACAGCCAAATGATTCTTTCCATTTTGAAGGACTCTGAGGACTTCCCCATCAGAGTCCTGTTGGGCACAGGAATGTTTGCTCTTTATTCAGGTACTTTTTAACACGCCTGTGGTGTGGCTGAAAAGGAAAGGCTGGCTTCAGGTCAGGGACAATCTGATCCGGCCAGGAATGCTTAAGGGGAAGTAGTGGTACCTCAGTCCTTTCCAGGAAAGTTCTATAAGGAACAGTTCTATAAGAAATTTTAACCTAAACATGTCCCTTACCTAGGTTTGGGTCATAATCCAAACCACAGGCCTCTGCTTTTGAGGTATTTTTGGCTCTCTACAATTATCTCCTTTACATTTCTCCACGACGCCTGAAATTCTGCTGAAGGTCTCATCCAAGGAAAGACCTACCACTACTTTCTCCAGGCTAAAACTTTATTTATTTTGTATAGTCAGGAGATCAAAGTGGGTTACACATGTGGTTTGTGGATTCCTCTGAGCACAGAAAAATAAACCCAAGTGACCCTCAAACAACGTATGGAAAAGAAATGAAAGGGGAAATGATGATATGATTTTAGCTGGAATGCATCTTAAGACATCTAGAGAAAACCATGGGAGCATAATATATATATATATTCCTACCCCATTATAAACCCAAATCTTAAAAAAAAAAAAAAAAAAGTATTTTAGACTATCACATTACATTTTGCCTATCTAGAAGAACTCCAAAATTAATGTTTCTAATTCTGATTCTTTAATAAGCCAGAGATATACAGACAAAAAATCTACCACCCAGTAGTTCTTAGCTATTTTCCATTGACCTACTGCCATTTCCTCTTTTTGGAATTCCCTATTAAGGCACCAAAAACCTTCACTGATACAGAAAATGTTCTACCCTTTTTTGAAGCTGACACCTGCAAAGCTGTATGCTCTTGTGAGTCTCAAAAAACCTCCAAAAACCCCCAAAAACACACCAGGAAAAAAGCCCACAAAAAACAAAACTAAACAAAACTCAAAAATGCACACACATGCACAAAAAAATAGAAAACAAACAAAACAAAAAAATCCCTACCAAACAAAGAAACCACAAACAAACCAAAACACCAAATCCAAAAGACATAGAAAAAATTGCTTCATCATCAAACTCACTAACACCTAATGCAGGGCTCAGTACATTACATTACACAGCCACAACTACCTTTTTTTGGTAAGACAAAATTAATTCTTACACTTGCTACTCATTATCTACTGAAAGACCTTCTGTAGCAATTGATCCTGAACAAAAAAAAAAAAAAAAAAAAAAAGCTTTTAGAATATTAAATATACACTTGTGCAACCTGTGTAATAAGTCTTTGCCCAAAATCCCTTTCTCCAGAACAGGAGTAGGCTCAGGAATATTCAGGGAACAGAAAACAGATTAGATGTCCAAATAGTTTCTTTTAAGTAACATAATTTTTTAATATATAGCTTGAATAAATGTTTCCATCTTTTTCATACCATCAAAGAAAATCAAATATGAAAAATGTGTCTTTCTGGCCGAACCATGTTATCATTTTAGAATTAATAGTTTTCTTTAATATGATAAGTATTTCAGAGCATAGAACTTGCATAATGACCAGGTCTTTAAAGACTGAGGTTTTTTTAATCTACCAAATGTCAAACAGGGATATTTACTATGTGGTACAAAGTTCTACTAAGAGTTCTTGAGAAAGGAGAGATTAAATTTGCTCCCAAGGTCTATTCATCCCTGTAACTGTTTCTCTATGCAGCAGTTCTTCCTCTTGCTAAAACTGCTAGCAAGGTTATGGCCATACACAAATTAATAACTCAGTGTTGAGCTAATATATTGAAATAACTCAAGAGATAACACAAATATGCCTAGAGGCTGAAGTTATGCTTATTATTTCAGCTACCAACACTTCCCTTTTTCCTTTTTTTTAATTACAAAGAATATATTTTGCAAAGCTCATGAAGTAAGGAGTTAAGGAGGAGATGAGAAATGTAATTTTAAAAACGCTCCTGTACACCAACCAGCATTTCACATCTTTTTGTCCCTGTCTGTGCCAAGGGCCTCTTCTTAAATAAATTTATATGAACTCCCTTTATCTGATATGGAGTTTTCATTGAGCAAACACTTCCCACTTGTATATTTCTTTCTTTGTCTTACATTTTTTCCTAGCTATGTATTAGCAACTTCTAAAGGAACTGCAGAAATAAATCAAATAAAATCTGGCTTAGCATGATGTCCTTGATTAGGACCTGTAAAAAGACGAAATTAAGGATGACAGTGACATCTTGCTACTCTATATTCAATTAAGACTGGCTTCTTTGTGGCTATGGTTCATGCAGGACATGCAGTTATCTAATACAGACCAATTCTGACAGCAGAACAATTAGAATGCAAAGCATAACTTACAACAGGCTCTGGCAATACTTTTTTTCCTTTCCTTGTGACGTCTTCAGCAGACTTTAAAGAGAAATCTTGAAATCATGTACTATGCTGAAAACCAAAACTCATATTCTGAACCCAAATACAGCTTTTAAAATACTTAACGATGTGAAAATTGGATACAATAGGACTGAAGAAAGCAATTGGAGAAGGGCTTTGGTGCCTACAGAAAATCCAAAGAAAAATAATTGCTGTATTTAAGCATTAAATTCTAAAACTGACCTGTGTTCTGTGGTGAGCTCAAGCCAGGCTCTTAGGTCGATTACTCAAGATGGGCAAAGCTCAAGCACACTACCAACAATATTAAATCTTGCATGTCTCCCTTTTTTTGAATGACTCACTTCTAGCCAAGATGGTAAGAATCTGGCAAGATTTTCCTGCCTAACAATAATCATCACCCTTTCTCCCCAGCTGGTCTGCAGGGCTTCCTGGCGAGGCAGCCACGCTGCAGAGTAGCCCAAAGTCAAGTCACATGCAGACTAAAATACCTATTTTCCTACACATTTCCACCCTGGGGCTATTTTTTCCTCCAGAAACACATTCTTAAGCAACTTTCTGTTTCACTGATGATAGCTCAGGTACTTCAGTGGCAGCCTGAATGGCAGCGGGAAGGAAACCCAACACCCAAACAACCTCCATCTCCGCAAGCCTGAGAATTGCCTCTGCCAAGGGCGAGGTGAGTGTACTGGAAAACATCATTCTGGTTTGGCCTTATTATATTCTTTCCTGCTGTTGGCCGCTGTTAGAGACAGCTTGGTGCCCTAGACTGATGATTGATTTTGGGACATTCTTACATGCTTTTGCTGAGCTTCTGGAGTCTGATCTAACCATCTACTGCAAGGGAGAAAGAGTTAAATCCCCTTGTCTTTTCCTTTTGCTATAATTTCATCCCTCCATAACTGGTAGAATTTCCAGAATTCCCAGCAGTCCTATTCTTTGTCCTGAATTCTGTTTATGTTAAATTCCTTATCTCTCAATGAAAATCTCAATTTTTAATTAAAAAGAGAAAAATATACTTAAAAGAGAACATCAAGTCAGGCTGTTGGATGTTATCCAGTGACAAGAAGTGTGGAGATTTTTTGGTCATCTCAAACCCAGCCAATTAACAGGCTACAGTGACAAGCCAACCAAATACTGCTAGAAATTCCCTACTTACCCTTTAGTTTGAGGTCCACATTGTGTCGCAGCCAGGGATAAACACCATAGTTGGACATATCTTCAGGAATGGGGTTATTATATATCCAGCCATCACATGCAAATCTATAGAAGTTCTCACATGGATCTACAGATTGATTTATCTTGCTCAGGATGCCAGCAGCTGTAAAAAAGACACCACATAGATTTTGTGGAACACTTTTTCCTAAATAGAGAATTACACAAGGCTACAGTCCAGAAATCATGATTAATGAGAAACAAACAAACAAACAAAAAAGACAAAATATCTGCAATGAATCTTCTTGAGTGCCATACAGCAATGGTGACTGAACTTATCACTACGTGAACATGAGCTGCTGGAGCCAGACACCTGAAGACAGGCTCTCCATTGCTGCCATGACAGAATTAATTGCCTGAGGAATTAGTAGTGGTACATATCAAGTTGATTGTGATTAGCATTTCAGTAACTATGCAGTGTTCCCCTCTAGTTGAATACTGCACAAGCAAACACATCAAATTCTGATCTACCATACACTAGAAAAGATTATTGTATTTTCAGCTCTATTTTGTGACTGTTTCCTTACCAGTTGCTATTGTCAGTGAAAGAGAGGTGGTAAGAGAGAGATCAGTCTGACAGGCACAAGACTCAGTAGCTTTGCAGTACCTAATCATAAAATCATAGAATAGTTTGGCTTGGAAGGAACTCTTAAAGATCACCTATTCTGACCTTCTGCAATAAGCAGGGACATTGTCAACTAGACCAAGTTTCTCCGAGTCCCATCCAGCCTGACCTTGAATACCTCCAGAATGGAGCATCCACAACTTTTCTGAGTGACTTGTGCCAGTGTTTCACCACCCCCACCATAAAAATTTTCTTCCACATAACTAGTCTGAATCTACCCTCTTGTAATAAAATATTAAAAAGTGTGTGCCAGATCTGGTACAAAATCATCTCTGTGCTTAACAATACACTTGCTAATTTTCTGATGACTGGAAAGGAAGCAACAAAATATACCTGAAGGTCTAGTCACTCAACATTTTTTTTCCTACTAAAAAAAAAAAGGAAAAATAATCCCTATGGGAAACTTTGAGTCAACCTAGTTTGACTAGTATTAGACCAAATTAAACCCCAAATTTTAATTGTACAAAATAAACAAAACAGAAGCAACTTTAACAGCGACTTTTTAAAAAGTTTGGTGTTGTTGTTCTTTCTCCCTCATTAATTAAGCTTTCTGAGTAAAATGTATAATGGGAAAAATTAAATTGTATAAATATCTCATTAACATACTATAATCATGATATAATTGAGATGATAAAATTGCTGCTTACCAGCTTCAATGCATTCTGCAGTCAAACAGTACTGTTGCTTCGGATGAAACTTTATAAGACCTTGGCTAACTGCAAAATGGAAAACCATAATGAGATCATTTGCAATGAATTTTGACAGCTGCAGCCAAATGTTGTGTACTTGATCATTCCAATATCAGTGCAGCCTCTGGTCCCAGCGCTTCTCTGACTTAGAAAGCACTTAGAGCATTAGATTTAGAGCACTTAGAATGTATATTAAGTAAATATTTAGAATGTATATTATGTAAATACTGCAGCTTGTACAAATAATTCCCCCCTCCTAGTCCCGCTTTCTCCTTCCCCCTCTGTGCTCACAGGCAGCACAGAGCAAGGGCTGCCTCTGCACAGTGCCCGGAGCAGCATCACTTCAGCCCTACTGACAGAGAGCACCACACCATACAAACAATTCAGCATTGTTATCATCCTTCAGAGCCTGGAAACACAGGAGGATAGAATGGGTTAGAAGGGACCTTAGACATCCTCTGATTCCAATGCTCTGCCCTGGGCAGGGACTTTCCACAGGACCAGGGTGCGCTTTCCATGGTTGGAAATGAAACAGGGAACAGTCTCCCCACCCTCTGCAGGGTTTCCACATCTCCCCTGAGCTGCAGGGCCCACACTGCCCTGCAGCAGCACTGCCCAGCACAACCCAGCATCAACAGGACCTTCCCAGCGTCTCCTAATTCCAGCCTGGAACAAAGCAGATTGCAATGGGCACAAGGATAGCTGTGCTTTATAAGGCACAACCCAGTTTCTGTCTGAATTGTTTCCCAAAAGTATTGTGATTGCATTTGCTTCCAAAAGCCTTGCTGAGAAGAACTATGAAAATGTCAGTTAATTTTGCTCATCTTTTAAAAACATGTGTTACAACTGCCACTGAAATTTAAGCACAGGAATTGCTAATTTCAGACACTGCTCTCAGGCAGCAAATATGGAGATAATTGATACTTGGGATTAGGAAGGGAGAATCCCATGGGATAGGTGAAATAGTTCCCATTAGATGTGCTCAGTAGGCATAAAGAAATGTCTCATTATATCCATTATCTTAATAATAGTCCATGGCAAAAATAAAAAAAAGCAAATAACACTGAACAAAAAAAAACCCAACAATGGAATATATTATGGTACCTTAGCTTTAACAGTGCTGAGAGTTCTAAAGCAATTTCTGCTGTACTTATATCTTGTTTCAAAGTGATAGAAAAATATGAAATATCATTTCAGCCCAGGAAATTTTTTTTACAAAAAGTCCTACAGCTAGAGTTGACTATTAAGCTGTTTCTTCTCTTCCAGTCTCACAGTTCTAATGGCAATTAATGACAGAAATAGCTGGATTTCAATCCACGTTTCTCAAAAAATGGGAATGTAAAACTATTTCTGGACAGCTTTTCCACAGCTTGCATTGTTTAAGTGAAACACAATATCTCAAACACCTTTGTAAATTAGCCAAGAAATACACAAGATTTTGAGACATACTAAGGTTGTAATTGGAATATTGAAGAACAGGAGAAAATAGAGAAGTGGAGATCTCCAGAATAGGATTTTGAGCTACTACAAAGATGAACTACAAATAATGGATAATGACCCTTTTAATTAAGTGCTGCACTCCTCCCAGCTCACCTTTATACATGATTATAATTTAGCCCTTTAGAATCCATCCAGGTCTTGAATGTTTGCTAGACTTTTTTTTCTTAACAAAGCAGAGAAAGGAAGGAAAAGGCCAGACATCATTTCATGCTTAATCTGAAGCAGTCCTTGTGCTTTTGATACTTATAAACAAACACAAAATACCATTTCAACTGGGAAACATTTTATCATTTTTATTATAATATTATATATATATATACAATTTTATAGTTAGAATAAATTTTTGGCAGTAACATTTACATTTTAATTAACAGCTAATTTTGACAGAAAAAACTTTGCACAGTTTTGCTCTCTTGCCTTTTTATTGTTAAGATAACTATTCATGACATTATTACTTAGAGTCATGGTTATAACCCTCAGTGTCCTAGCTTCCTACTTGATAAGCCTGTTTCCAGATTCTTAAGCAAATACACACCACAACTGAGCTTAAAAAAAAAAAAAGTATAAAGGAAAAGGCATACAAATATACAGATGTAAATAATGTGAATGTTCCTGCAATGTGAGAACCCTAAAGACTACCAAGTCTGGAGAAGAGGCTCTCAAATTGAGATTCAAAGCTGCCTGACTTCTCACCCAAGGGCACTGGAGACAAATCTGCCTCCTCCAAGGAGGAGGTGGCTCCTGTCCTGTCACAGCCCCCACTCCTACCAGAGTGTCACAGGCAGGACCCCAGCAATGCTCCCTGCTGAAGTCAGTGAGCTCACACCAGCACGAGCAAGGAACAGTAAATAACAATATCTGATTCACCCACATCCTCCTTAGACTTGTAGGAACTATGAGAAGAAAAAAGCAGGAGAAAGCTACATTTCACTCCTCAGGCTGGAAAATTGATTTCAGGTGTACCAGAAACAACAAGTTTTGCAGACAAAATGAAAACTGAAGAAAAAATGACATCTTGAGGTGCCTTAAATGTTTCATATGGACAGAAAAAAATTATGTCCATTTCTACAGTTAAATAAAACTAAAAAAAAAAAAAAAAATAGCTCAAACTTACAAACAAAACCATGTCACAATGAAGCACGGAAACATCTAATTGAAAAAATGTTAAACCAAAACAATTTAACCTTTTTTTCCTTGGTTCTTTAGCTTGAAAATTTCAGACCATTTCCAAAGAAATCCTAAAAGCATTTTGGTTTATCCAAGGACAGCATTTTTATTTTCTTAGGAGTTATGCCAATGAAAACTTCAATATTGAGTCCCTGCCTAAAGAACATGCCACAGGCGCACTTGGAAAACTGTCTGCAAGAATTAATATATTTGCTTGAATTTTTACACCTGGCCTATGGATAAAGCAGTCCTATCTCTGAGAAGCTGTGGTGATAAATGTCAATTACTTATATAGCTCTAAGCAATAAACAAACAAATCTGGTGCAGGCAAGAAGAAATAAGGTCTCTCCACTATTACTCCCTTGTGTTTGTACTGCATTCTTTAAGTGAAAAACTTTTTCTTTTATGTAGAAATTTGAAGATTCAAACTCACTCATGGTTATAAAAAGTTGGCTTGAATGGGATCACTAACACAGAAGTTATTTTCCTGCAAATATTACAGAAATTGCTCCAGAGCAGAAAAGCTCTAACCAAGAGTGATCCTGGTGCTTTAAATATTCTATAGAAAACCTGACATTGTTATGTGACTATAAACAAAGCAGACCTTTCAAACAAAGTCACAAGATCATAAAGGATTGGAGGAAAGCAAAAGATATGCTTAGAGGCAAGGTTTCCACCAATCCAGGGAAATCTGTGTTGGTCTAAAGAAACAAAAACTTGCGAAGAATTGTTCCAAAAGAGGATCCAACTCTGCAAAGTTCTTACAGGATACAACAAAGCTTCCTCTTTGGTTGGAGTTTCTGGACATATTTATACTTCTACTCATAATTTCAGAAGTGTAGGCATATGCTTTCAAGTGTTATGCTAACAAAACCACTCTACAGGTAATTCCAAATCTGGGAGAGGGAAAAAACTATTTCCTTCTCTGTTGCATCTAGTTACAGCTTATATATCTAACAAAAATATTTCAATTTCACCCTAGATGCATTCTTTATGACTTTTGTAAAGGCAACTTCGCAATTCATCATAGAAGAACAGAAAGATCTAAAAAACGTGCACACATATGCATAATTGAAGCTTTCTACAGGGGTTTTAGCCAAGCCCTAAATGAAAACCAAATGAAGGAAAACCCAAAAAGATTCCATAAAATATGTGCAGTACACGGTTTCATTTCAGGAAACAGAGACTATTACACCATATCGGTCACAACCACTGAATCCATAATCAGCATAATCTCACCTGCTTCTCTCTGTCCTGTGAAAGAACCCAAGTCTGGTCAGAACACATTCAACTGAGTATCCAAATTTAAATTCAGCATTCAAAACGTTACATGAGTTCCCATTGCATCTCCCATCTCTAGCATTCCCAGAAGAGGCATCTCCCATCTCTAGCATTCCCTTTACTGACACAAATCCCTTTCAGGATAAATATAAAAAGGGAGGAAAGAAAAGAGACTTAGATTTTCACCAAAAGACGTCATGAGGCACAAACAGCGGCGCCCAGCAGGCAGGCTGGGGAGGCTGTGCTCAGGTTAGTGTCGACGCTTTACTTACCCAAGAAAAGCGCGGTGCCAAGCACAACCGTGCCACTCACAAAGACACCGAGGGCAATCCGAGTGGCTTTGCTGGCTGCTCCCCTGGCCTCAGGGACTGTCTCTCCTTCCATCAGGATAGCCTGGGAGGTGCTTGCTCTCTCAGAAGTCTGGTTTTCCCCGGCTGCTGTTGTGTCAGTGTTTCAACTGTTCACAAACTGTGCCCATGAGCTCTCCTCCTCCTCCTCTTCTCTCCTATTTAAAACTCCTGGTTTCAGTCATGAACCATTCCTAGGCACTTCCTGCTCTCTCCCTCTCAAAGCAAAATCACATGTAAAATAGTAGCTGTCTCCTATGTTTTGCTCTGCCCAGGAGGAGGAAAGGCAAGAAGTGGCCACAGTTTGTGCAGCCCCCGCTGCCTGTAGAGCCTCTAAGAGCCAAGCGCTCAGCAGTTCCCCTTATCAGGGGTTGCGAACACGAGCATTTCACAATGTCCCCGAACAGATGTTTTAACTATTCAAAGAGCTGCATACCCTCTCCAATCAAAGCAGGATTGCTGACAACTTCTACAAACACAAGTCTGATGGAAGGTTTTTTTTTTCTTCTTCGCACTTATTTAAAAAGACTAATTATCTGCTGACTAAAGTTTTCTCCTTTTAAACCATTGCTGCTGCATCATTTGGCTTCAGAAGAGGTACCCACTCAGCAGACGAATCCCTTTTTAAAGCTTCCTAAGAACTCTTAGAATATCATGTAGCATTTTATTTCGGGAATTTGGTATGTGACACTGTGTGCCAAAAATCACAGTCAAGCAGCACAAAGCAATAATCAGCCAACCTACAGAAAAGTCCTTCTCTAAAAGCTATATCTGTTTTTTTCTAGGCAAGATATTTCAGTCCTTGCGGGTACACAACACATTTTAAGAGATGATTCTATGCTTCCAAGTCAAGTACTACTATGAGTTTAGTGGAAAAGTATCAACTTGGTACTTTAAGATGGTGAGGGATTAAAAATAAAATCTTATTTATATGGTTTTCTCAGTGGAGTAGACTTGATAGTCCTCTCTCCATGAAGCAAACTTTCTCCATTCATAAAGTAAAAAAATAGCCATTTCAGGGTGAATTCTCTGAGCTGAATGTGACAATCAGCCCTCTGAGGAGGGCTCCCTGAGGAGCTCTTGCTTTCTCAAGGGCTGGACTTACATACAAAACATAAGGATGCAGGGAGAGGCAGCACCATGCCCATGCTATCAACAACAGTTTATGTTACTGAGTTACTTACTTTCATGGGGACTTAAAAGTCCTTATCTCAGCCCCCAACCATCCTGATAAACAGTTGCACAAGCAGACAGAGAAGACATGCATGTGTCACAAAATGTGCGTGATGGCAGTTACCAGCTTGGAGACTGAAAACTTTTTCCATGTGAGCACCTGCACACAAGTTGTCCTGGATGTCACATGGACATAAAGGGAAAACCTAGTCTATCTAGAAGAAGACTTAGCGTTTGAAGGTCTTGAAATTCTCACTTCTCATCCCCCTCTACTGCCTTGTTGGGGTCCTGCAAACAAAATGCCCTCAGTTCTTATTCCTGTCCCTCTTCACCAGGAAGCTCCAAGAGGGCATTCCCATCTGTGCTTGGTCCAGAACAGGAAAAAAAACATTTTCTCCTTTTCACCTGCCTATTGTCCCACATATAACCCATGATTTTGACACCCATCAGCTGAGGCAGTAGCGGGAAATGCTGCAGAACCAGGAGGGCCACATGCCTCCCACTATAAAAATTCCCACTCGTGTGAAGGACTCCATGGGTGTGAGCAGATACCTGGTTATAAGAAATACTCACACAAGACTGTTACCAGCACAGGTTTGGGAAGGTATTTGTGTGACGTTGGTGCAATTGAGTCCTCATATCAGAAATCACTATGATCTCAAAGGGGCTGCCAAAAGGGCAGGGTATTGACAGAAAATGCATGGACATTGTGTGATCTCGACACTTAAACCATTGTATCCATGATCCAAACACTGAGCAGACCTCAGAAGGACCCTTTGACAAGTATTTGCTGTTGGTTACCTAATGGTTTTTCTACTGAACCCCAACACTACAAATGCTGAGCTATTAGACCTTTATGTCCCCACAACCAACACTGAATTATCATATGCTTACTTAATCCCCCCATAATTTCTAAATTTCAGATGCTTCCCCCTTGAGCAGTACTTGTATGTACTGAACATCATGCTCTATCAGGTTTCACTAGCAGGATTTTGCTTTCATCGATTGTTACACAATCATGAAGTCTTATGAAATAAGGTAAAGTCTTACAAAATAAGGGCCTTGTTACCCTTGTAAAACAATGGCTCAGGTCTGCTACTTAGACTAAGTAGAAGGGAACAATGGGAGAGTGACACAGCTGGAATAGGGGTAGAGAGATGTGAAGCGACATGAGAGCTGTGCTGCGTGACTGCCACATGTCCACACCGCGCTGCTGGTGGTTGGTTGACGTGGGCTTGTTGTGCCTTAAAACTAGGTAAACTGATAACCAGTTAACTGCTTAGAAAGGCCTGGTTTTTGCAATAAAGCAGGGCTCCTTTGCACTGCCGGGGAACTCGGCATCACTCTACATCGTCACAATTGATCTCTTTCTAGGACAACATCAAGTCAGAAACTAAGAAGAGTTTTCAACAGACAAAGCAGCAACCAGTTATTTCTCTTTGGAAATCTGTGTCAGGGGAAGAAGGAAAGGAAAGACAAGGAAGGAGCAGGGTGAAGCTGGACATTCATTCCCCTCTCCCAAACACAGGAAGTTGAGGAGTATGGGAACATGGAGCTACCCCAAAAAAATCCAGCAAGATCCAACTACAGGAGTCCTCTGGCAAATCAGCTCCAAGCAGCACCTAATCATTGTGGCAAGAAAAATCACAAATCAGCTGTCAGCAACAGAATGACTTTTCCATGTTTGGGTTTGTGGGCTTATTTACACTGTGGCATAAAGTGTCCTCTCCTCTGGCTGTAGAGCCTGCCTGCAGTCAATAACCCATCTTGGTTTCTCCAGCGTGTACAGAACTATAAAATTACAGCTAAACCATAAACAGCTGCAGGCAACAGCTGCAGAGGTCCACTTCTGGCAGTGTTTGAAAAGGTGCACAGAGCACATGTAAGTAAGTTCCTGATACTGATGATCTGTGACAGAAGCCTGTGGAATTTAATTCGCATTTCTGATGAGAGTTCTAGTATTTGGTTGCCTTGCTCTTCCCAAGTCCAGCAGCTCCTTGGCAGGTACAGGACACATGGCCACACCTCCTGCTGGAACTGCTAACAGCACTCCTGGCCATTGCAGCCCAATAAGGCACTTAATGAGGCTGTGCAAAGACTCTGCCAAACATTCATAAAATATTGAACAGACACAGGGAGCAAAAAAGTAATAACTAAATGCTACATGCTTCAAACCACACTTCATTCACTCAGAATTCCATCTCATCAAGATCCCACTCAAACAATAGGATCACTCTGGCACTTTTAACAAATCCAGGACAATGCACGAACAGTTCTATCCATGGTCATATGCCAGAGCTGGCAAACCCTCTGGAACATGCTCTGGGCTGAACCACATCAAGAGTCTCAGCCTCTAGGAAAGGTCTGTCTGTGACTATAAGTATGTGTGTTTGTGTATGCACATAAATGTACACTCACAAACACACACAAGTGTGTGTTATCCTGCTCTTCCACAGGCAGACACAATTCCTGCTTCTAGCCATTATGTCAGAGTCAGACAAGAGCACTTATCCGAGCTAAAATCAATAGGACCATGTCAGCTTCTCCTCATAGAGCTTGGCCCAAGAAAAATGAGGTTTAACTATTCAATTGATCAACAAAATTGCGCATATTGCCCAGTTTTCACTGAATGGTCAAAACCAGTTGCATAGGTGTTGGTGAATGTCTGGAACAGCAAAACAGTCTGATGTCAGCACATGGTCAGCCCAAGCTTGCTCAAAGAACTTGTGGGTAATGAGCCTAAGTACTGTAAAATAGTTCATCTTTCTAGCATTTAGATCACTTCAAAACATATTAAAAGAATCACTGATACTTTTTATACAAAGAGAAAAAATTCCAGTTCAGTTATAGATGTAAACCCCAATGTAAGACAGGTAAAACACAATAGGTTACACCAACACGTGAGTTACATTGCCTCAGAGGACACTGTTCTCATGGTGCACATTAAAAACTTGCCCTACCTGGGAGGTGTCTAATGCACATTAGTGCAAGTACAGCTTAACAGAAGTAGTCCACAATCACAGCGTCACAGCTTTGGTGATGTACTATTGAGCATTTTTTCCCATGGTAAAAGGAAAATACAGCCACCATCACACTGATGGAAGCAAAGACACCAGATACAACTTGAGTGGCTTCCTCATGGAAGCCACTCACATGAGTGAGGGGATTGAGTCGTCCAGTAGTAAATTTGCAGATGACACTAAGCTGAGAGCATGTGTCAATCTGTTGAAAGGTAGGAGGGTTCCGCAGAGAGACCTGGAACAGTTGGAGGGATGAGCAGAGTCTAACAAGATGAGGTTTAATTAGTCCAACTGCTGAGTCCTGCATTTTGGCCACAATAACCCCTGCAACTTTACAGGCTGGGGACGGTGGGGCTGGACAGTGCCCAGGAGGAAAGGGACCTGGGGGTATTGGTTGACAGCCGGCTGGACATGAGCCAGCAGTGTGCCCTGGTGGCCAAGAAGGCCAATGGCTCCTGGCCTGGATCAGGAATGGTGTGGCCAGCAGGAACAGGGAGGTCATTCTTCTCCTGTACTTGGCACTGGTGAGGCCACACCTTGAGTGCCGTGTCCAGTTCTGGGCCCCTCAGTTTGGGAAGGATGTTGGGACACTTGAGACCATCCAGAGGAGGCAACAAGGGAACACAAGCCCTGTCAGGAACGACTGAGGGAGCTGGGGGTGTTTAGCCTGGAGAAAAGGAGACTCACGGGTGGCCTTATCACTCTCTACAACTTCCTGAAGGGTGGCTGCAGTCAGGTGTTGTTGCTCTCTTTCTCCAGGCAGCAACTGAAAGAAAAAGAGGTCACAGACTTAAGCTGCATCAAGGGAAATATAGGTTGGATATTAGGAAAAAGTTTTTCACAGAAAGAGTGATAAAGTACTGGAATGGTCTGCCCCGGCAGGTGGTGGAGTCACCATCCCTGGATGTGTTTAAAAAAAAGACTGCATGTGGCACTTGGTGTCATGGTTTAGTTGAGGTGTCAGGGAACGGGTTAGACTCGATGATCTTGAAGGTCTCTTCCAACCTTGTGATTCTCATAGAAACAGAGGTATATGCTGGCTTCATTGAAAGAGATTAATTAGTGTGGGTCAGAGTAAAGGCTGTATTCCATCCCATTTCAAGGGTTTCACCCTGGGCCTTGAACTGTTTTTTTGGACAATGCAGCTGTTGTAGCCAGAACTGGGCTTTACATACACAAAGCGTACTCAAGAAAAGCCCAACATGTTGCATTTGAAGACAGCTTGACCAGTTGTCATCAGATCGCTGAATTTTATAAATTACATTCCCTTGGCTACAAAAGCTGCCAAATTTCTGTACAGCAGCCAACAGAAACCACACTCTGGCACTACTTCACGTCCTTTATTCATGGGACAAATACAGCTGGAAATAAATGACTCTATTGTTTTCCACTGGTCCAGCCACATCACAGAAGGCCTCAGTGCATCTGTGAGAATGTGGATAATTAATTAGGAGTCAATACTGAGCCAACAGAATTTGCAGGGCTCCAAACACTGCTGGTGGCAAGCTTTTCCACTAACTGCAACTGTAAGATCACCCTGCAAAGCAGAAAACTTTGCTCTCTAACATTTAATACCCCCAAATAATTTTTTTTTTCAGTTCCAAGTAAACTAAGCTATTCTCATTACCCTAAGAAATTTTTTTCCCTGCTGCAGGAAACATTGCATTCTCTGACCAAGAGGTGCTTATATGTAACCCAAACAGCAACTGACTATGAAACCCAACATCTGGGATGCTTAAAGTTACACCACTCAAGTTTGCAAGCTTTTTATTTGCTTCTTTTGAAAAAGCACTTGAATGAAGCAATGCATATGTTCTCAAGCAGAAGGAACTGCTTTAGGTCTTCCGGCAACTTTTTGTCAAGAAGCACGTTAAATTCTAGCTAAACCAAACACTACTTCTCCTAAAGACCACATTCGCACTACAACCAGAGAGTGTTTACACTCAGCCATCACATGGGCATCCTTCCCATCTGTCATCCTGCTGTAGAGATTAAACAAGGGTGAATGCTAACATGAGCTGTAGAAAGGCATTTTAGTTGGGGATTAAGAAATACACAAGATACCCTGGCGTAACTTTTGGGTTTTTTTCATATAATCTAACTATGTACATAGGCTGTAAAGACACTGAAAAAGACATTGCTAGGCAATGTCACTTTTCTAGTGAATTGCTAGGAAATGTCACTTTTCCACAGCTGTAGGTGCAGGGAGATAGAACACAAATATCTGTTGTTTCCTTAAAATATTGCATCATTCCACCAGAGCTTTACCCACTTCTTTTGCTTTGTCCAGATGTTTGCTGACAGCTGTCAAAGTCTATTTATACGAGTGGAAGCAAGAAGCTTGGTTACCGAGGAGTTTGTGTTCCATGGAGGAATTTTCGGGTGTGCAATGAGACACACATTCACCGGTATTTTAAATTAAAAGAAGAGGAGAGACACCTCCTGTCTCTCAGAGAAGCATGACTGTCTCTGCAAAAGCAATGGTTTCTGCCTCCTCTCCCACTTGGATCTCCAGCAGCACAAATCTGTCTTTGGCAGCAACAGAGCTCAGAGACAGCTGCAGCCAGGAGCAGAGCAATTGCTCCACAGAGGTGCCACTGAACAGGTAACAGGCACTCTGTCAGTGCTAGCTACTCAGGACCTGCTTGTGCTAACTTCTGTAGGAAACCAAAAAAAGCGAAGCAGAAGCTCCTCCAAGTGCTTTAACCCCAAGGCAGTACAGCTCAGCAGTCCGGTCAGGCACAAGCTCTGGTGAAAGCTCTTCTCACACAGGGGCTGTTGGGTCACATCTCTCTGCACAACAAATGCACCTAACCACGGGCTTGTAGCAGAAGTAAGAGACCTTTTAATCCAGGCAAAGACTTGTCAGAATTTATATCTTTGAACCCGAATTCCCTCTGTCAAATTTGACTGAAGTTGGCTGACAAGGTCCAGCATTACTTATCAAGGCTGGGTGGGAGAGAGGAGATACAGAGACAGGAAAGCACAACTGCATAATCTCTGTTTTCAGAAGAAAGCCTGTCAAAAAAACCAAAAAATACCCAAGAAAACCAACAACAAAAAAACCCCAGCCACAAACCTGAAATATCATATCCTGCTCTTCCAGGGCATTGCTACAACCAGCTCAGGATCTTACTTGAAGTTAGTTTTATTTCAAAGCATTTTATTCCACTGAGTTCTTTTCCTTCATCTCAAAATGAGATTAAAATTCACTTTGCACACAGCTAAAAGCCAGAAAAATCACACATTAAATATGTCCTAAATTAAACGCCCTTGACAATGTGAGATTATGTGTGTATTAATTCAGTGGAGGTATTTCTAGATATTTCTCATCTTGTCCTCATCTTGGTGCAACTCTAGTAACTATGTATGCAACTAATAATGCTGAGCAGCAGCCCCTCAGCAGAGTTTAAATGTGTTTAGTCAGCAAGATCTCTGGAAAGGGGAGACCAGAGTTGGATCAGGTTGAAACCACAGCAAGAGGCCCCATGGGACGGGATCATCGAGAGCAAACATTTGCTTTCCTGAAGCTGCAGAAATCCTCAAAAATCAGTTAGGCACCAACTATAATTATCTTTATGAGTCAAATTGCTATGTCTCTGACAGCCCTTCCCTTAAGTTTCCAACATCTCTATTTCAAATAAAGCTTTGTTGGTCTTCTTTACTATTAACACAAGGTTTTAGAAGAAAATAAAGATTTCTGTAATATCAAACTACTTGTTATAGATCAAAAGCTGGATCATTACATGGTATTGCTCTCCATAAATTTTCATTAACCTATGAACAAGTAGCTGGATTAGGGAAACTGATGAAAGGGCCTCAGCTCTAACTAGCTACTCTTAGAATGTAAATAACCCTGCAAAGAAATTAGCAGTACTGTTAGCAAAGTTAATAACAGTGACAAAAATAGTAATGACCAAGCTTGCCTAAAGGGAAGGAAAATTATGCTGATCAAAGCTAAATCCTTTTCTACAACTTGCAGAAAGGATTATGCTCTTCTGAAAGTTTCCTTAACTTCTTTAATATGCACTTCCCAAGAAAATGACAGTAACTTAGTCCACTAAAAGACACTGATAAATTCATAGGTCTTTAATAATTTAATGCTGTTTCTGTTGCTAGTTCTTTGAAATTGCTGCAAACACAGCTAGCCTTTTCCTTGGTTGAACTGGTTGACTGAAATGGGACATTCATTATTCAACTTTAAAACAATACTAAAGTAAAACTCCCATGATGACTGTGCTTTTCATAAAAAAAGTGATAGATGTGATAAGTGTCTTGCAACTTGGACTACCAATAGAATTCAGATTGGCCAGAACATACTCACAGCATCTGCTTTACCTAAGTAAAAGTCTGCAGGCTGCCAGTAAGTTTCTAAAAGCAACCTAGGAGTATCATGGCTTTTGAAGCAGCAATTAATAAGAGAAAATAAGAGCCCAAAGAGCATATTCCATCTCCCCAAAACAGAGAGAAAGCACTCACAGCCAGACTACATCTGGACTAAGACACAAAAAGAATTTCCTACTGGCTTCCAAAACCTGATTTAACTCCTCATTTGGGTACAGCCCCCACCATGTTCAAGGCAGCTCAGAACACTGGTAAGACCTTGATGAGAATTCCCGTGTGCCAGGGGAATCAGAGAGATCAGGATCCCAGGCTGTGCTGTAGCCAGCCAGAATGTGGTCCCATAGCCCAGGATATCAACTGTGTTAAGGGAAAGCCCCCCATTTCCTCACAGGACTTTCTTACACTTCCCAGAGGCTAAGACCTGCTCCTCTTACAAAGACCTTTCCTAACTTTCTCTGATTTCCAGTCTTTCCCTGGAAAAGCAGTCTGAAAAAATGCAGTGCCATGTTCCTCCGTTTCACCCAGGTGCTGACTGTTGCAGAAATTAATTCATTCCCTTTGCTGTCACTACTCCCACTTTTCAGAGCACCAGAACACATTACCAGGAATGATACAAACGCAGCTCACTTCACTCTGAGTCAATCAGATAAACTCACACTCCTGTCTACGTTTTCATAGTGTGATGTCATGACTTCACTTTCCTGGGACATTGAAGCCTTTGTCTTTGAAAAACATGCCCTTACAAGATAGGGAATGCTTTCAACCTCATTTTATAAAAACATTTACAGCTTGCTGCTTTTATTTTAACCACACCTTTTTCCTCCCTATATGTGAGCATAAAAGGAAAAATAAAACATAATTTTAAGCTAAATAAAATACTGAATGAAACTCATCCATTGTTGCATGAATCTGGATGCACTATAAAATATTTAAAGCTGCTCAAATCTATTTTTATCAGTATGACATAAAATGTGTTTTAGTATGTTTTAAGTTCAGATGTATTTGAATATCATTTGTTCACAATTAAATGCTTAAAACTGGCCAAATTCCTGTTCACTGGAAAAACAAGTTACTCACTGCCACCAGACAGCCAAG